TTCTTAAGGCATTTATATCTTCACCATCTACTGACTAATCCATCTAATATAGTGACATATTGAATATTCCATTTTACAGTCAGATTTATATATGACATGATTTACATGATTTACAAATACTACATTGATTTTTGTATATATATATAACTGCATGATCAAAAGAGCCGAGCTAATGCTGAGAGAATGTCAAAAAGAAGCTGTTCATAATTAATTATGTGCTTCTCTAAAAGTTTTTAAAAGCTGTGGGTGTTGTAGGTTTGTTTTCTGAAATGTTGATAGCAGACTGCAATGTCACTCACACCAGTAACCTACTCGTATTTAACCCTGACATATCAAATAATAGTAATTTAGTATTTTTTAATAGTAATATAATATTTATAATAATAATGTCCTTTTTTGATTTTTGGAAACAGAACAATTTATTGAACCTTTAGCCCAAACTGAGCAAAAATACGCAATTTGGTGCAATTGCTGATATTTATATGGCCAAAAATTATAAAAAAGATGAAATTCTGACAGCTTGAAATTGAAATCTGTCAGATCTTTATAACAGTTTACAATAGCAGATACGTAAAATACATATAAATATAAGTTGTCACTCTGTATTTCCCAATAATATGTCTTAAGATGATATTTAAATGATTTGGATGATATTAAATGCAGTTTAATGATCAAAGCTCTGTAGTTTTAAAACACATAATACAATGCAATGCAATGATGATTGAGAGATTAACAAATAATCATTCCCCAAAAGCCTGATGGATCATATTTAATGCTCACATTTGAACATGCTTTTTCAAAAAATGATTTATGGGTAATTAGGTAAACCTAATTTGCTTCAGTCCAGTATTTTTCATCTTGAAACATTGCTAACAATATCAAATTTAAAGACCGCAAGAAGAAACATTAAGGGATACGTTTTTACAATCATACCAAAAAGTCTTTTACTTGCTAAAAAAAAGTATCCATCAGACAACTGAAGGCAGGTTGTAGATTTTGTGCAACAGGTTTTTAAGCAAAGTTTTGATTGTGCTAATAATTTAGAGACCTTTAAATGTGATACGGTAGGAACCATTCTTCTTTTTCACATACAATGAAAATATAGTTTTCACATGCTATCAAGCTCCAAAAATGGCAAAAAAGCAACATGAAAGCATTATAAAAGACATATGCACCATATGTGACCCTGGAGCACAAAACCAGTCGCTGGGGTATATTTGTAGCAATAGCCAACAATACATTGTATGGGTCAAAATGATTGATTTTTCTTTTATGCCAAAAATCATTAGGATATTAAGTAAAGATCATGTTCCATAAAGATATTTTGTAAATTTCCTACTGTAAATATATCAAAACTGAATGTTTGATTAGTAATATGCATTGCTAAGAACTTCATTTGGACAACTTTAAAGGCGATTTTCTCAATATTTAGATTTTTTTGCAATCTCAGATTCCAGATATTTAAATAATTGTATCTCGACCAAATATTGTCCTATCCTAACAAACCATACATCAATGGAAAGCTTATTTATTCAGGTGATGTATAAATCTCAATTTCGAAAAAATTTACCCTTATGATTTGTTTTGTGGTCCAGGGTCACATATAGTCTTGTGAACAAACAAACATAAAGAAAAAACATTGTAGTCTCTTAAAACCATTTTAGCTGTTCAATTTGTCATAATACTTCCCAAAACTGAACCGTTTTACCATATCTTGAGGTATAATGATTTTGAGGATGTTTGTGCATTAGACAGGGCACTAGATCACCACACATTCATTTATCAGCCACATAAAACTGCTTTATGCTTCAGCGTGATTTGCTGTGTAAATTGCATGAAAACAGCCTAAATATAAGCTTTTGATGTCCAGAGGGAGGATTGGGGAGTGTGGAGGTGCACAGCAGATGGCACCGTCTGCTCGAGGGGTGAAAGCGCTAGCATTTTAACATATGGCTGAACTGTGCACCTCTCTGTCCACTCGCCGCCTCAGGGAAGAGGCGCTGCATGATCTGTTCTGCGTCACGGTAAGAGAGGAGATGAAACGGGATAAAGCAGCAGCGTCGGGCCTCTAGGCTTTCATTCAGTTTCATCACACAATCGTCGCTTGACTCTCTGATTTTTGTGTTGTGGTTAATTTTTTTTTGAAAGACATTAATACTTTATTTAGCAAAAATGTATTCAATTGATCAAAAGTGACAGTAAAGACATGCAGCGTCGGGCCTCTAGGCTTTCATTCAGTTTCATCACACAATCGTCGCTTGACTCTCTGATTTTTGTGTTGTGGTTAATTTTTTTTTTGAAAGACATTAATACTTTATTTAGCAAAAATGTATTCAATTGATCAAAAGTGACAGTAAAGACAATGTTACAAAAGCTTTTTATTTATTTCAAATAAATGCTGTTCTTTTTACCTTTCTGTTTATAGAATCCTGAAAAAGAATGTTTTCATGAAAATATTAAGAAGCACATATGTTTTCAACATTGATAATAATAATAAAATGTTTATTGAGTAGCAAATCAGCATATTAGAACGATTTCTGAAAAAATCATGAGACTGACTGGAGTAATGATGCTGAAAATTCAGCTTTGATCACAGGAATAAATTATATTTTAAAATATATTCAAATAGAAAACAGTTATTTTAAATTGTAAAAATATTTCACAATATTACTGTTTTTACTGTATATTTTCTTTCACATAAATTCAGCCTTGGTGAGCATAAGAGACTTCTAAAACATTAAAAAATAAATCTTACCCACCCATACCTTTATACAGTAGTTTATATATTAGTGTTGTGCAAACATTTACCTACATAAACATCCAGATATCTTATTTTTGCATTCACAACTAATTTTAGTACTGTAATATTATGTATTATTGCTTTTTTGTCAATAGGTTATTCAGTAAGAGAAAAAAGTAACTTGCAGTAAAAAAGTAAACGGGGTAATTTTAAATTCATGTTGACTTTAAATATCAATATTAATATTAATGTTAAATCTAAAAACAAATATTGAGATATCATTTTAAATTGGATTGAATTTTATATACATTATTTACTGTTGTATCAAATTGTTGGGAAGGATTTGGACATCATATCCTGCCTTTGACCCTTTCCTGATCTCACCTGGGAGTCGTCGTGGTGTTGAGATCTGCTTTATATTATTTATTAATATGAGAAGCATATGAGCCACAAGCCTAATCACCCATGACAGACTAAAAGCTGATACAAAGGATCTAGAAATGCAGCTTTATCTCATCTAATGGCACGTTATTCGCACTTGAACTGATGTTCACAGTCTCACCAACACACACACAGTATTAGACGCACATCCTCAATTCACAACATCATCACAGCCAGCTTTTAAAACAGTAATTCACCCAAAAATGAAAATGCAGTCACCCTCACTATATCATTGCGAACCCTCTAAACCAGGGGTGGGCAAACTTGGCCCTTCCAGGCCACTTTCCTTCAGAGGTTAGCTCCAACCCTAATCAAACACACCTGAACCAGCTAATCATTGTCTTCAAGACTATACTAGAAGGCTACAGGCAGGTGAGTCATATCAGGGTTTGATCAAATCTCTGCAGGAAAGTGGCCTGGAAGGGCCAAGTTTGCCATCACTGCTCTAAACCCTCTGGGTGTGTGAGTCATATGAACTGAGTGTGTGTGGATCATTTGCTCTGTGTGTGTGTGTGTGAGACTAATGTCAGTCTGTGTCAGCGGTCAGGTGCTAAACTGGGAGATGTGTGAGGTGAACGCCGTGTCCCTGTCCCTCACTGTCTCATCTCTGACGTCTCTCTGTCTCTTTGAGTTGAAGGTAATGGATTTGATGTCGTGTTTATGGTCTCCGCTTCTTCTATCACTGCCAGGGAAGCACTTGTACAGCATTATAGCTCAGATGTTTAGATCAGGGGTTCTCACAGCCCGGGGTCATCACATGTGGTTGCCGCAAGCCTCCTTCGTCGAATCCGCCGGCCGTGCCGTTCTCCAGCCCGCCGCCTCTGCTCACTCTAGCCCCGGCCTCTGCTCACTCTAGGCCGCCGTCGCGTGTGACGCTGTGTTTCGTTGTGAAAGCGTTACCAGAGTTGCCCATATACCACACCATGTTACAACACAGTAGGGCTTTTGCAGACAGAAACAATACTGTACTGCATCGATGTTTCCTGTCGGCTCAATTTTTGAGTGGACTTTGCTTTTCCGATTCGCATGAACGGTATACGAGTGGAGCGACTGAGCGGAGCGCACGCGCATAGGGATGGATAATACACAGAGCGTCACACCACGTGAAAGTGAAACCTGAGCGGTGACCTAATTTTCGGCAGCCGAAATTTCGGTGCATCTCTAATTGTTGGCGACATCAGAAATGGATATTATATAATAGATGCTTTTTTAACATTTTAGCAATTTTAAAATATTAAATTATTTTTTATAGGGCACCCCTGATCTCAACAGATGGCACCCCGGTTGGGAAACACTGCTCTAAGCCATGAATGCTTTGCACAAAACACATTGCGGTCAACACAAACCATGTTTATTGCAAGTGAACATGTATTTAATGTAATCTAGGTTGTATTTTCTTTTATCTTGCATAGTTTTGTTCATGGTTTTCAGCTTCTACCACATACGACAGGTAAAATACTACTATATTACCATTTTCAATGCAAAGGAGACATTTGCATACAGTATGATTATTTAAACACATATAGAAGTGATGTGTGCACACCTCTTACATTGCAAAGCAGAATTAGTCACTTTGATGAGCGGTTACTCATCATAACCGTAACCAAGGAGATCAGAAATAATGAGGTTCTGGTGCTGGCATTTGAGAACGGTGACAATGAGGGACTATTAGCTACTCATGATTCTGGAAACGCCTGCTTAGCAAGAGTAGGCGCACTCGGATTTCAACCAAATGGAGCTTAAATAATGCCAAAACAAATGGCGTGGTGGATGTTTTGGCAGCTACTGTTTGTTTCATTTGTGTTTTTCTCCTCCTCAGATTCTGGCCGGCGAGGTGATGGTGTTTTTCATGAGGTCGGAGGGCACGCAGGAGAAGACCATAGTCACAGCCGACTGCTGTTACTTCAACCCTCTGCTCAGACGCATCATACGCTTCCTAGGTAGTACTTCAGCATTCACTGAAGAGGATGATGGGAATTATGTCATAAGGAACTAAAAATGAGAGCCAGTGTCTCTAAAGCACAGAGAACTACATTTAAAGAAAACATTTTTGTTTATGATCCATTTTCATGCTACAAACTGTGATATTAAAGACATCATAGGCAGTTTGTGATTAATGGGTAGTTTTTTTTTTAATCAGGATTTTAAGTTAAAATATAAGGTCATGTAAGTGGATGTACAGTCATGGCCAAAAATATCGGCACCCTTGTTAAATATGATCAAAGAAGGCTGTGAAAATTAATCTGCATTGTTAATCCTTTTGATCTTTTTATTTTTTTAAAAATCACAAAAATCTAACCTTTCATTGGATAATAAGAA